ATCGTGAAAGATTGTTGGAAACAGATAAATAGATGATAGTATAGTTTCTCAACTTATGGGAGTCATGCCCAAATGTCTCTAAACTCCCTTATTTATTTAAGAAAATTGATTACTAAAAATGGCCGGTGGCTCATGCCTGTAATCCCAACACTTTGGGAGGCCAAGGTGGGCGGATCACCTGAGGTCAGGAGTTCTAGACCAGCCTGAGCAACATGGTGAAATCCTGTCTCTACTAAAAATACAAAAATTGTCTGGGCATGGTGGTGCATGCCTGTAATCCCAGCTACTTGGAAGTCTGAGGCAGGAGAATCACTTGAACCTGGGAGGCGGAGGTTGCAGTGAGTCGAGATCGTACCATTGCACTCCATGCTGGGCAACAAGGGCAAAACAAGAGAAAAAAAAAGTATGTGACCAGGCGCAGTGGTGTACACTTGTAATATCAGCACTGTGGGAGGCCAAGGTGGGAGGATCACTTGAGGCTGGTAGTTCGAGACCAGCCTGGTCAACATAGCAAGACCCCGTCTCTATAAAAAATGTTTTTAAAAATTAGCTGGGCTACTAAAAAGTAGGCTGTAGTGCCAGCTACTTGGGAGGCTGAGGTTGTAGTGAGCTATGATTGAGCCACTACACTCCAACCTGGGTGATAGAGTGAGACACTGGATCAAAAAAAAAAAAAAAAAAAAGTGACTGCCATACATAGATTTCTTTCTTTTATTATTATTATTATTATTATTATTATTTGAGACAGAGTCTCACTCTGTCACCCAGGCTGGAGTGCAATGGCGTGATCTTGGCTCACTGCAACCTCCACCTCCTGGGTTCAAGCGATTCTCCTGCCTCAGCCTCCTAAGTAGCTGGGATTACAGGTGCGCATCACCATGCCCAGCTAATTTTTGTATTTTTAGTACATGCTGGGTTTCACCGTGTTGGCCAGGTTGATCTCGAACTCCTGGCCTCAGGTTATCCACCCTCTTTGGCCTCCCAAAGTGTTGGGATTATAGGTGTGAGCCACTGCACCCAGCCAACATCATAGATTTCTGTCTTTAAAAAAATCTTGGCTGTACTGATTGAGCCTCCTCCACAGTCTCACAGAGGAAGGAGCTAAAACACAGAGAGGGTGAGAAAAGTCCCTAAAGACACACAGCAAATTTAGGACTGGGCTCCAGTTCTCTCCAGGGGTTTTCCACAGTCCAAGATCTCTCATACCTGTTCCTGCAGCTGCCAGTCTTGTCAAGGTTGCCAGTCTCTGGGGCCTTGCTGGTTCCTGACTCCCTAAAATACAGGGCCCAAGGGTCCTCCCCAATTTTCCTGTCCTGCCTTGAGCTCCCCACCCCCAATTCCAGACGGATTGGGAGCTGTGACCCCCAGCTCTGTGGTCCCAAAGGGAGGTCAGCTAAAGCAGCCACCAGGGGACTCATTGCCCAACAGGGAGTGGCTATGATCAATGTCTTCTGCTGCTCTTCCCTGGGTTAACCATTTCCTGACCCTTGCCCCTCTGTTGATTCCTCTGCTAACCTGGTATGGAGGAAGGGTGGACAAGGGCTTGGGATGGGCACCCTTGATATCCCCAGCTCTGACACAAACAGACAGGGGGGCTCTCAGTCCTCAGATGTAATCCCTGCCTGGGTTCTGTTGGCATTCCGTGGCGAGGCTCTTCAGCCTCATTTGGGCAGAAGGGGTCCTGGGGACTGCAAAGGGGCTTTCTTTTTCTTTTATTTATTTCTTTTTAGAAACATGGTCTCCTTGTGTTGCCCAGGCTGAAGTGCGGTGGTGCAATCATAGCTCACTGTAGCCTTGAACTCCTGGGCTCAGGCGACCCTCTTGCCTCAGCCTCCTGAGTAGCTGGAACTACAGGTGCGCATCACCACACTTAGATAATTTTTGTATTTTTTGTGTAGAGGGTGGGTTCTCACTATGTTGCTCAAGCTGGTCTCGAATTTCTGGGCTCAAGCAATCCTCCTACCTTGGCCTCCCAGAGTTCTGGGATTACAGGCACAAGCCACTGCACCTGGCCATTTCTTTCTTTCTTTCGTTATTTTTTGAGACACATTTTTGCTGTTGTTGCCCAGGCTGGAGTGCAATGGCGCGATCTTGGCTCACTGCAACCTCCGCCTCCCAGGTTCAAGCAATTCTCCTGCCTCAGCCTCCTGAGTAACTGGGAGTACAGGCATGCGCCCCCATGCCCAGCTAATTTTTTTGTATTTAGTCGAGACTGAGTTTCACCATGTTGGTCAGGCTGGTCTCGAACTCCTGACCTCAAGTGATCCGCCCACCTCGGCTTCCCAAAGTGCTGGGATTACAGGCATGAGCCACTGTGCCCAGCCTCCGGCCATTTCTTAATATGATCCAACCACATACCTACTGATAAATATTTATCATGATAATTTTTCCTATTGTAAACAATGTTGTAATTAACATCTTTAGGTATGGGCAAATTTGTGCAAAGTGCATGTACTTCTGCAGCAAGATTCCTAGAAAGGAAATTTTAGGTCAAAGATATGCACATTTGAAAGTTCAATAGTCATTGTCAAATGCCTTCTAAGAGGTCTTCTGGCCAGGCACAATGGCTCATGCCTGTAATCCCAACACTCTGGGAGGCCAAGGTGGATGGATCACCTGACATCAGAAGTTCGAGACTAGCCTGACCAACATGATGAAATCCCATCTCTACTAAAAATACAAAATTAGCCGGGTGTGGTGGCACATGCCTGTAATCCCCACTACTTGGGAGGCTGAGGCAAGATAATTGCTTGAACTCAGGAGGCAGAGGTTGCAGTGAGCTGAGATTGTGCCATTGCACTCTAGCCTGGGTGACAGAGAGAGACTCCTCCCCAAAAACAAACAAGCAAAGAAACAAACAAACCAAAAAACAAACGCCTTCTAAGAAGTTTTCACCGTCTGGGCACAATGGCTCATGTTTGTAATCTCAGCACTTTGGGAGACTGAGGCAGGAAGATCACTGGAGCCCAGTAATTTGAGACCAGCCTGGGCAACATAGTGAGACCCTATCTCTATAAAAAAACAAAAACAAAAACAAACCCAAAAATTAGCTAGGCATGGTGGCTCGTGCCTGTAATCCCAACTACCCTGGGAGGCTGAGGTGGGAGGATTGCTTGAGCCTGGGAGGTTGAGGCTGCACTAAGCTGTGATGGCACCACTGCACTCCAGCCTGGGCCACAGAGTGAGACCCTGTCTCAAAAAAAAAAAAAAAGTTTTCACCAACATTCTTTTTTTGCTTTGTTTTGAGACAGGGTCTCACTCTGTTGCTCTGGCTGGAGTGCAGTGGCTTGATCATAGCTCACTGCAGCCTCGAACACCTAAGTCCTCCGGCCTCAACCTCGCAACCAACTGGGACCCACCGGCACATACTGCCATGCTTGGTTAATTTTTACATTTTTTGTGGAGACAGTGTCTCACTCTTTTACCCAGGCTGGTCTCTAGCCTCAAGCAGTCCTACCATCTCTGCCTCAAAAAAGCACTTGGGATTAGCAGCATGAGCCACCGCACCTGGCCACCAACCTACAGTCTTATCATCACTGAGTTCGTATCTACCTGCATCTTGTCCAACACTCCATACTACCGATCTTTCAAATTTTTGTCAGCTGGGCACACTAGCTCACGCCTGTAATTCTAGCTCTTTGGAAGGCCAAGGCAGGCAGATCACTTGAGCCCAGGAGTTTAAGACCAGCCTCGGTGACATGGCAAAACCCTGTTTCTGCAAAATATACAAAAATTAGCCGGGCTTGGTGACGTGTGCTGGTAGTCCCAGCTACTCCAGAGGCTAAGATGGGAGGATCACCTGAGCCCAGGGGGTTGAGGCTGCAGTAAGCCAAGTCATGCTGCTGTGCTCCAGCCTGGGTAACAGAACAAGGTCCTGTCTCAAAAAAAAAAAGGTCAATATAAGAGTCATAGTTTTAATTAGCATTTCCCTTATTACTAGTGAAACAGAACAGCTTTTCAGATGTTTGCTGGTTGTTTGTATCTTTTCCTCTGTGACTTATCTTTCTCAGTGATTTGCCAATAGGCATTTGCAGTCTTTTTTTATTTTTGACATGGAGTCTCGCGATCTCGGCTCACTACAACCTCCACCTACCAAGTTCAAGCGATTCTCGTGCCTCAGCCTCCTGAGTAGCTGGGATTATGAGCATGTGCCACCACCGCTGGCTAATTTTTTGTGTTTTTAGTAGAGATGGGGTTTTGCCATGTTGGCCAGGCTGGTCTTGAACTCCTGACCTCAAGTGATCCACCCACCTTGGTGTCCCAAATGCTGGGATTACAAGTGTGAGCCACCACATCTGGCTGTTTGCAGTCCTTCCTTCACCTAACTCTCCAGTTGCCACCGTTGCCAGTTATAGAATTTTAGGTTTGAAATGGTTTTCTGTTGGAATTCTGCAGACAATGTTCCGCTGCCTCTTAGACTCCATGGTTGCTATTGAAAAGCCGGATGCCATGTTGATTTCTGATCGTTGGTATATAACCTGTTATTGTCTGTCTGAAAGTGTTTCAGATCTTCTCTTCCCTGATAGTCTGAAATCCAGTGCTTCCATGGGTCTCTGTGTATTCATCACCCTGGATACCTTTTTAATCTAGAGACTTGTATATTTCAGTGCTGGGTATTTTCTTGTGTGTTTTTCTTTTTAAAATAATAATTTCTTTTCCTTTGTTCTCTCTTTTTGAACTCCTTTTGTTTGAGGTTAGCCTTTTGTTTCAGATTTGGAAACAGATCCTCCAAACCTGTTTCCTTTTTGTTTCTTTCTCTTTTTTTTTCCCCCTTCTCTCTAGTTTATTTCCCTCAATTTCAATCTACAACGCTTCTACTGGATGGTAAATTTCAGCTCTGGTAGTTTTAATTTCCCAGAGCTTTTCTGTGTTTCTCTGTTCATTTTTCATGGCATCCTTGGAAGGATGCCAAGCTAAGGAGGCCAGGGGTGAATAAAAGGGGTCCAGGCTCCCAACTGTGCCCTTCTCCTCTCCCCTGGGAGCCACCACTGAGGTTCCTCATGGTTCCTCCAGTCTGGACTCTGCTGCTGCTGGTGGGGGCTGCCCATCTCAGGTAAGCTGGGCCCAGCGGGTAATGATAAACCAGGGTCAGTTGAGGGTGGCTGTAGGAATATGGAAGGGCAGAGCTGGAGGGGGTGAGCAGGCTAACTACAAAAGACCTGGAGAGAGGCCGGGCGCGGTGGCTCACACCTGTAATCCCAGCACTTTGGGAGGCTGAGGTGGGCGGATCACGAGGTCAGGAGATCAAGACCATGCTGGCCAACATGGTGAAATCCCGTCTCTACTAAAAATACAAAAAATTAGCCAGGTGTGGTGGTGCACACCTGTAGTCCCAGCTACTTTGGAGGCTGAGGCAGGAGAATCGCTTGAACCTGGGAGGCAGAGTTTGCAGTGAGCCGAGATCATGCCATTGCACTCCAGCCTGGGTGACAGAGCGAGACTCCGTCTCAAAAAAAAAAAAAAAGAAACCTGGAGAGGAAGGGGGAAACCCGGTGGGATGGAAATGGGTTGACCTTGACTGCTGACCAGGAAGGGGGAGAGCTGCACAGGCCCAGAGCCTGGAATTAAGGGGCAGGTTCTGGGAGCAGGACAGGGCTACAATGTGAGAAGGGACAGAGGAGGTGCAGAGCTGGAAGACACATCTAAGGCTAGGAGAGAAGGATCGAGGGGTCAGGCCCTCAGGAAATGGACAAGACCCAGGGTGGACCCAGCTGATGAGGGAGACTTAAGTATGAAGCAGCAAAGAAATGACGGATGACAGGCCGGGCGTGGCGGCTCACCCCTGTAATCCCAGCACTTTGGGAAGCCGAGGCAGGTGGATCACCTGAGGTCATGTGTTCGAGACCAGCCTGACCAACATGGTGAAACCCTGTCTGTACTAAAAATATAAAATTAGCCAGGCATGGTGATGCATACCTGTAATCCCAGCTACTGGGGAGGCTGAGGCAGGAGAGTCACTTGAACCCTGGAGGCAGAGGTTGCAGTGAGCCGAAATTGCACCATTGCACTCCAGCCTGGGCAACAATAGTGAAACTCCGTCTCAAAAGAAAAAAAAAAAAGAAAAGAAATGATGGATGTCTTGGTGTCCTGCAGTGTGTTTGGGAGAATTTGAACAAGTAGAACTTCAACAACAAAAAACTGAGGTCTGAGCACAGTGGCTCCTACCTGTAATCCCAGCACTTTGGGAGGCCAAGGTGGGAGGATTGCATGAGGTCAGGAGGTCATGGCCAGCCTGTGCAACATAGAAAGACCCCATCTCTATAAAAAATAGGAATAAATTAGCTGGGTGTGGTGGCATGCTCCTGTAGTCCCAGCTACTGGGGAGGTTGAGGTGGGAGGATTGCTGGAGCCCAGAGGTTTGGGGCTGCAGTGAGTTGTGATTGCACCACTGCACTGTAGCCTGAGTGCCGGGGAAAAGAAAAGAAAAGAAAAAAAAAAGAAAAAAAGTCAAGTCACATACATTCACTGCATAAACACGGATCATCCTTACATGACCACTCAGAAAGCTCATAGTCACTGAATGACTTATAATTCTTATAATTCTTTTAATTCTTGATAATGACAAGAGTTGCATTTTCGCTTTCTCCAAACCACCCCCAAGGAGAGAGAAGCCTCCGGACAAGAAGCTGGTTGTTCGCAGCTCTAGGGACAACTGTGAGTTGGAAACCAGGAGTGCTAAGATTCCTCCTCCCTCCTCTGAACCCACATTCTGTCACCAGAACACCAGTGCCTGAGTTCCTAGCAGAAGCAGCCACCTCCAGTCCCCTCCGGGCATCAGCCAGGACTACAAAACGTGTCCCGCCAGACCAAGTCCAGCCCTCCAACCTCGGTTCACGTCCCCGACCTTGGCATTCTGTCCACTCTCCCAGACCCGAATTTCTCCTAAAAGATTCTCTTTCAAATCTCTGCTCTGGGCCGGGTGCTGTGGCTCACACCTGTAATTCCAACACTTAGGGAGGCCGAGGTGGGAGGATGGCTTGAGGCCAGGAGTTTGAGAGCAGTCTGGGCAACACAGTAAGACTCTATCTCTACAAAAAACAAACAATTTCTGCTCTGGACCCCAAGTCTTTGTGACAGCTTTCTTTTTATTTTCTTTTTTTGAGACGGAGTCTCCCTCTGTTGCTCAGGCGGGAGTGCAGTGGCGTGATCTTGGCCTCACTGCAAAGGTCACCTCCTGGGTTCAAGCGATTCTCTTGCCTCAGCCTCCCCAGTAGCTGGGACTACAGGTGTGCGCCACCACACCCGGCTGATTTCATGGCAGCTTTCTCTAAGCATAGCAATCTTGCTACTTCCATCTCCCAGTGTGGTTCTGGGCCCTGCCCCTGTCCTCTCTGAAACCTCACAGTGACCCGTTCTTCCTAGACGTCCTCACCCAGTGTGATTTTGAGGATGACGCCAAACCCCTCTGTGACTGGTCCCAAGTGTCCGCAGATGATGGAGACTGGGTTCGAGCCAGCGGGCCCTCTCCCACCGGCACCACCGGGCCTCCCGGGGGGTACCCCAATGGAGGTAAGTGGCTACGGTTTCCGGGGGACCATGAGCCGGGAGGTGTCTGGGAGGCGGGGATGGCTAGATGGAGGGAGAAGGGAGGCAACCAGAACGGAGTGCCTGGGCTCTGAGAAGGGGATGGGTGGGGGCAGCCCTCGGAGGTGACTGGGCCTCAGGGTCCTGGGCTCTGCCTCCCCCAGAGGGCAGCTATCTGCATATGGAATCCAACAACTTCCACCGTGGGGGTGTGGCCCGCCTGCGCAGCCCCAACCTATGGGAGCAAGGCCCGCTCTGCGTGAACTTCGCCTACCACATGTTTGGGCTGTCTTGGGGCGCCCAGCTCAGGCTGCTGCTGCTCTCGGGTGAAGAGGGCCGCCGCCCCCACGTGCTCTGGAAACACCGGAACACCCAGAGACCCTCCTGGACGCCCACCACTGTCACTGTGCCCGCAGGGTTCACCCTGCCCACCCAGGTAAGGCCAGGGGCAAATTGTGGGACCTCAGGGGAAATCTAGGTGTTGGGGAGCCTGGGGGTGGGGGTGTGGCAAAAAGGGATTGTGGGGGCCAAGCCATCTGAAATCAGGAAGGAAATTAGGAGCCAGGAGGCCTGGCTGAGGGGCTCATGGGGTTGGGTCCATTTATCCTCTTGCAGCTGATGTTTGAGGGAACACGGGGTAGCACTGCCTACCTGGACATTGCCCTAGATGCCCTCTCTATTCGCCGGGGCTCCTGCAATCGCGGTGAGTCCCTGTCCCTCCTCCTCCCACCGCCTGCCCTCGGACCCTTTTCTCTCTGCCCTTGCACAACTACCCAGGGTGGCAGGAGCAGTTCATGGACCAGGAGTCTAGTTGCTTCCTCTGCCTCTGCCCTCCATGCCAGAGGCAGAGATCACGCCACTGCGCTCCAGACTGGGTGACAGAACAAGACTCTGCCTCAAAAAAAAAAAAAGATGAAGAATGAAAGGTGCCAGAGAAAGGAGATGAGGAGCTGGCTGTACTGGGTCTGCCAGGTGGAGCTTGTAGGGCTTTGACTCTGGTAGCAGCCACGCCTAAAGAGAGGTCTCCTCCGCCCAGCACTGTGGCTCAGGCCTGTAATCCCAGCACCTTGGGAGGCCAAGGTGGGAGGATGGTGTGAGGCCAGGAGTTTGAGATCAGCCTGGGCAACATAGGGAGACCCCCATGTCTACAAAAGAATTTATTTATTTATCTATTTGAGACAGAATTTCACTCTTGTCACCCAGGCTGGATGCAGTGGCGTGATCTCGGCTCACTGCAACTTCCGCCTCTTGGGTTCAAATGATTCTCCTGCCTCAGTCTCCCAAGTAGCTGGGATTACAGGTGCCCACCACCATGCCTGGCTAATTTTTGTATATTTAGTAGAGCTGGGGTTTCATTGTGTTGGCAAGGCTGTTCTAGAACTCTTGACCTCAGGTGATCTGCCCACCTCAGCCTCCCAAAATGCTGAGATTACAAGCTTAAGCCACCGCGCCTGGCCAAAAACTTTTTAAAAATTAGCCGCGTTGGCCGGGCACGGTGGCTCAAGCCTGTAATCTCAGCACTTTGGGAGGCCGAGATGGGCGGATCATGAGGTCAGGAGATTGAGACCATCCTGGCTAACACGGTGAAACCCTGTCTCTACTAAAAAATACAAAAAACTAGCCGGGCGAGGTGGCGGGTGCCTGTAGTCCCAGCTACTCGGGAGGCTGAGGCAGGAGAATGGCGTGAACCCGGGAGGCGGAGCTTGCAGTGAGCTGAGATCCGGCCACTGCACTCCAGCCTGGGCGACAGAGCGAGACTCCGTCTCAAAAAAAAAAAAAAAAATTAGCTGGGCGTGGTGGTGCCACCTGTAGTCTTAGCTACTCAAGAGGCTGAGGTGGGAGGACTGCTTGAGTCCAGGAGTTCGAGGCTGCAGTGAGCTATGATTACACCACTGTACTCTTAGCCTGGGTGACAGAGACCCTGTCTCTAAAAAAGAAGAAAATATTATATCTTCCCTTCTTTCTTTCCTCTCAGTCTGTATGATGCAAACATGCAGCTTTGACATTCCAAATGACCTCTGTGACTGGACCTGGATCCCAACTGCCTCCGGGGCCAAGTGGACTCAGAAGAAAGGGTCGTCGGGAAAGCCAGGCGTGGGGCCTGATGGCGACTTCTCTAGCCCTGGTAGTGAGTAGCGGCCATGCTTCTGTCCGTTGACTTTCTGGGCACCACGCACCCTACTGTAATTGCCCTGGGACGGTCTGGCATGAACACCTACAGCTTCAAGCCTCTTATCAGCTCAAGTTTCACGCAGGAAGCTGATTTCAAGAACCCAGCCAGCCTCCCCCACCATCGCCCTACAAGCTCTACCTGGCACACCCAATACAGCCAGCTCCTCATCTCCTTTCTCTGGCACCTTTCATTCTTTTTTTTTTTTTTTTTTTGAGGCAGAGTCTCATTCTATCATCCAGTCTGGAGTGCAGTGGCGTGATCTCAACTCACAGCAACCTCCGCCTCCCGGGTTCAAGCAATTCTCCTGCCTCAGCCTCCCAAGTAGCTGGGACTACAGGCATGCACCACCACACCCGGATAATTTTTGTAGTTTTGGTACAGACAGGGTTTCACCATGTTGGCCAGGCTGGTCTCGAACTCCTGACCTCAAGTGATCCACCTGCCTCAGCCTCCCAAATGCTGGGATTACAGGCATGAGTCATTGCTTCTGGCCCCTTTCATTCTTCATTCATTCAAGAAATACTGAGCACCTACAATATGCCAGCTGCTGTCCTAGGCACTTGAGATACCCCAGTGTACAAAACAGACAAGGAAGAGTAGGGTGGGGTAGTGGGGGACAGTTACCTAAACAAAGTAAATATAGTTATAAAGTGAGCAGTGCCACTGGGAAAATAAAAAGTTGAACAAGTTTGGAGCCAAGTGCACTGGCTCACGCCTGTAATCCCAGCACTTTGGGAAGGTGAGACGGGAGGATCACCTCAAGTGATACGTCCACTTCGGCCTCCCAAGGCGCTGGGATTACAGGCATGAGACACTGAACCCAGCCATGAGTTATCAATTATTTATTTATTTATTTCTGAGACAGAGTCTCGCTCTATCTCCCAGGCTGGAGTGCAGTGACTTGATCTCAGCTCACTGCAACCTCTGCCGCCCAGGTTCAATTGATTCTCCTACTTCAGCCTCCTGAGTAACTGGGACTACAGGTGTGCACCACCATGCCCAACTAATTTTTGTATTTTTAGTAGAGATGGGGTTTCCCTATGTTGGCCAGGCTGGTCTCGAACTCCTGACCTCAGGTGATCCATCCACCTCGGCCTCCCAAAGTGCTGGGATTATAGGCGTTGAGCCACTGTGCCCGTGCGAGTTATCAATTTTAAATGGGCTGGTCAGAGTAGGTCACATTTAGGACACATTTGAGCACAAACTTGAAAAAGGTGAGGGAGTAAGGCCTGAAAATTATCAGGGGTAGAGAAGGACATTCAAGGCTGAGGGGCCAGCTGTGTGAAGGTCCTGAGGTAGCAGTGGGGCTGTCAGGAAAGGAGGGGATCAAGGTACAGCAAACAGCCATGTGGCCGGGATGAAGAGGGTGACCTGAGATCCACAGGAGAGGCAGATCACACAGAGCCTTAAAGGCCATTGTCAGGACTGTGGCTTTTCTGTTCTATGTGAATGGGGAGCTTTTGCAGGATTTTGAGCAATTATTTGATCTGACTTATTTTTAAAGGATTTTTTTGTGTTGTGAATCCACTGAGAACAGGCAAGGTGGATGCAGAGAGGCTGTTTAGGAGTCTTTTGCAAAAATCCAGGCGATATTCTTTCTTTCTTTTTTTTTTTGAGACGGAATCTTGCTCTGTCGCCAGGCTGGAGTGCAGTGGTACGATCTCGACTCACTGCAACCTCTGCCTTCTGGGTTTAAGCGATTCTCCTGCCACAGCCTCCCGAGTAGCTGGGATTACAGGCATGTGTCACCATGCCTGGCTAATTTTTGTATTTTTAGTAAAGATGGGGTTTCATCATGTTGGTCAGGGCGGTCTCAATCTTCTGACCTCGTGATCCACCCACCTTGGCCTCCCAAAATGCTGGGATTACAGGCATGGGTCACTGTGCCTGGCTGATATTCTTTCTTTCTGTACACCCTAGTCTATCCCTAGCTTCTTTCCAATACCTCCCTGTGCTCGCAGCTGAGCTTCTTTCTCTTTCTACTGTTGACTTCTTCCTTTTCTCTCTTACACAACATTCACTTTCTCTCTCAATCTTCTCCACACAGCCCACATTTCAACCCCTCACTCAAGAGGTCAAGCACAGAGGGTTCTGCTCCCTAATTTCCTTTCTGAGTTTACACTTCTTAATTTTGAATTTAAAAAAATGTTTTTAAAAACTAAGCCAGGTGCAGTAGCTCATGGCCTGTAATCCCAGAACTTTGGGAGGCCGAGGTGGGCAGATCACTTGAGGCCAGGAGTTCAAGACCAGCCTGGGACAAATAGTGAGATCTTGTCTCTACAAAAAATACAAAAATTAGCCCAGCGTGGTGGCACACACCTGTAGTCCCAGATACTCGGGAGGCTGACGTGGGAGGATCGCCTGAGCCTGGGAAGTGGAGGTTGCAGTGAGCTGTGATCGCACCACTGTACTCCAGCCTGGGCAACAGAGTGAGATTGTGTCTCAAAATAAATAAATAAATAAATAAAAATAGGGATGGGGTCTTGCTACATTGCCCAGGCTGGTCTCAAACTCTGGGCCTCAGGCCATCCTCCTGCCTCGGTCTCTGAAAGTGCTTGAAGTACAGGTGTGAGCTGTCATGCCCGGCCTATATCTCTTTGTTCTTCTTTTTCCCTTAATATTTCTTCTTCCTCAATCTGTTTCCTCCCTTCCACCTTACCATTTCCACATTTTCTTTTATTTTCTTTATTTGTAAAGATGGGGTCTTGCTATGTTGCCCAGGCTGGTCTTGGACTCCTGGCCTCAAGTGATCCTCTTGCCTCTGCCATATTTTCTTTTCTGTTCTTCCCCATATTTTCCTCTCTCCACTCCATTAGTGTCCACTCCGACTCCTGCCCTCCTGTCTCTGATCTTTCCTGCTGCCTAAACTTTGTCTTCTAGAAGGGCTCTGGCCAGGTGTGGTAGCTTATGCCTGTAATCCCAGCACTTTGGGAGGTGGAGGCAGGCAGATCACCTGAGGTCAGGAGTTTGAGACCAGCCTGGCCAACATAGCAAAACTCTGTCTCTACTACAAATACAAAAAATTAGCTGGGCGTGGTGGTGTGCACCTGTAATCCTGTAATCCCAGCTACTCGGGAGGCTGAAGCAGGAGAATTGCTTGAACTTGGGAGGCGGAGATAGTGCCACTGCACTCCAGCCTGGACAACAGAGTGAGACTCCATCTCAATAAAAATAAATAAGTAAATAAATAAATAAATAAGGCCTTAAAAAGCCCTGGCCCCACCTTCGCTGGAAGCCGGCCAGCCCTCTCTGCCACCCCTCAGCATTTTTAAATTATGTACTGTGGACTGTGCCCAGGAGCTTCAGTAAATGCTGGCTGGCCTTTTGGCTTTTTATTTTTCCTTTTTCTCCCTTTCCATTTCCATCTTGCTCGCTTCCTTATATTTTCTTCGCCTTTCACTTTTTTTTTCTCCCATTTCTCCTCTTCCGTTTCTCATAGGTCTCCTCGATTTTATTTTCTTTCTTTCTTTTTTGGATACAGAGTCTCGTTCTGTTGCCCAGGCTGGAGTGCGGTGGCGCGATCTCAGCTCACTGCAACCTCTGTCTCCCGAGTTCAAGCGATTCTCCTGCCTCAGCCTCCCGAGTAGCTGGGATTACAGGTGCCCGCCACCACACTCGGCTAATTTTTGTATTTTTAGTAGAGACGGGGTTTCGCATGTTGGCCAGGCTGGTCTTGAACGCCAGACCTCAGGTGATCCACCCGCCTCGGCCTCCCAAAGTGCCGGGATTACAGGCGTGACCCACTGCACTCAGCCGTGAGTTACCAATTATTTATTTATTTATTTCTGAGACAGAGTCTCCCTCTGTCTCCCAGGCTGGAGTACAGTGACTTGATCTCAGCTCACAGCAACCTCTACCGCCCAGGTTCAATTGATTCTCCTACTTCAGCCTCCTGAGTAACTGGGACTACAGGTGTGCACCACCATGCCCAATTAATTTTTGTATTTTTAGTAGAGATGGGGTTTCCCTATTTTGGCCAGGCTGGTCTCGAACTCCTGACCTCAGGTGATCCGCCCGCCTCGGTCTCCCAAAGTGCTGGGATTACAGGCGTGAGCCACTGCGCCAGCCCGTGTCCTTGATTTCTCTTTCACCATTTCCCCACTTCCTTTCCTTTCCCTTCCCTCTTCCTTCCCGGTTGTTTCCTTTCTCTCCTTCCTCCTGCCCATTCCCGCCATTCCAGCCTCTTCGTCGCCGCTCAGGATCACACCTTCCGCAGGAGTGAGCGCGCACCAGGCAGGACCGAGCGCGCGCCAGGCAGGACCGAGCGCGCGCCAGGCAGGACCGAGCGCGCGCCAGGCGCGACTCCCTGGGACTCGGGCGCGAGCACGCACGCGAGCGCGCTCCCCACGAGTTGGCAGCCGCTTACATTTTCCTCTTCGCTACCAGTTGCGTCACCTAGCGAGGTCCACGCTGATTGGCTGTCTGAGCTGGGGGCCGAGGTGGTGTTGAGTGAGAGGGGGTTTGCCGCTTGCTGGTCTGTGTCAGAGCCGCTGTGACTCTCACCAGTTTGTGTGAATAGGTTATGTCCAGCGGGTAAAGAAAAGGAAGAGGCAACCAGGTGTAGTGGCTCAAGCCTGTACTTGAGCACTTTGGGAGGCCAAGGCGGGAGGATTGCTTGAGGCCAGGAGACCAAGACCCGCCTGGGCAACATAGTGAGACCCCATCTATTAAAAAAAAAAATCAGCTGGGCATAGTGGTGTGCACCTGGAGTCCCAGCTACTCGGGAGGCTGTGGCAAGAGGATTGCTTGAGCCCAGGAGTTTGAGACCTATGCCACTACACTTTAGCCTGGACAACAGAGCCATACCCTGTCTCAGAAAAGAAAAAAGAAAAAAAGGAACAGGCTATGACTCTAGTGGACCTTAGGAGTTAGCACCCAGGCCAGACGTGATGGCTCATGACTGTAATCCCTTGGGAAGCCAAGGTGGGTGGATCATTTGAGCCTAGGAGTTCAAGACCAGCCTGGGCAATGTGGGGAAACCCCATCTTTAAAAAAAAAAAAAATAGAAAAATTAGCAGGGCTTGGTGGCGCACACCTGTAGTCCCAGCTACTTAAGGAGGCTGAGGCGGGAGGACCACCTGAGCCCGGGGAGGTTGAGTCTGCAGTGAACCATGAGAGCCATGATTGTGCCACTGCACTCCAGCCTGGGCAACAGAGTGAGACTGTCTCAAAAACAAAAACAAAACAACAACAACAACAACAAAAAAGAGTTAACACCCAAAGGACAAAGTTCTAGTTGCTGCTTTGGAGAAGGTGTCTGGCGTTTCCCATGGCAGCGCCGGGTCCTTACCCAGCCCAAGTATTTCTGGGAAAGTCAAAGACCTCAGTCAGTTGGCATAGGACTACATTGGCACTGCCTGATTCCAGGCTGCTGTTGGGGCTCCCCAGGGACAAGTCCCCAGCCTCCTCAGGGCCCTATCTCTGCTGCCATCTTCCCTCAATTCCATCCACCTCAATTCCCTGGCCTTTTGCTTCACAGGTGGCCACTACATGCTCCTGGACCCCAAGAATGCAAGACCCGGGCAGAAAGCCGTCCTTCTGAGTCCCGTGAGCCCGTCCTCCGGCTGTCTGAGCTTTTCCTTCCACTACGTCCTCCGGGGCCAGTCTCCTGGTGCAGCCCTCCACGTTTATGCTTCCGTCTTGGGTTAGAGCGGAGAATTCATGGGATTTACACTGATTGGGCGCATCTCCCAGGGTTGGCTTGATGGGGAAACATGGGGCATCCCTCAGGGTCTAGGGAGGTCTGGAATATGTGTGAGATTATTTCATGAAGTGGAAATCATGGCTGGGAGGGCTCTTTGGGAGGCCGAGGTGGGCAGATCACAAGGTCAGGAGATCGAGACCATCCTGGCCAACATGGTGAAACCCTGTCTCTACTAAAAATACAAAAATTAGCTGCCTGTAGTCCCAGCTACACAGGAGGCTGAGGCAGGAGAATCGCTTGAACCCGGGAGGCGGAGGTTGCAGTGAGCTGAGATCGTGCCACTGCACTCCAGCCTGGCGACAGAGTGAGACTCCGTCTCAAATAAAAAAGAAGGTTGTGCTGGCCTGGCACAGTGACTTACGCCTGTAATCCTGCACTTTGGGAGGCTGAGGCTGGTGGATCACTTGAGGTCAGGAGTTTGAGACCAGCCTGGCCAACATAGAGAAACCTTGTCTCTACTAAAAATACAAAAATTAACCAGGTGTTGTGGCACACGCCTGTAATCTCAGCTACTCAAGAGGCTGAGGTAAGAGAATCGCTTGAACCTAGGAGACAGAAGTTGCAGTGAGCCAGGATAGTGCCACTGCACTCCGGCCTGGGCAACAGAGCAAGACTCCATCTCAAAAAATAATAATGATAAATAAATAAAATAAAAAAGAAGATTGTGCTTTCATTTGGCGGTAATGGTCCCCAACTATACCCTCTGCTCCTCATCCTCCTGGGTATAGTTCAAAGTCATTTCCCAGTCCCCTTAAGCTCACTTCTCCCTCCGATTCCTTTCACTGCAGGGAGCATCCGGAAACACACTCTCTTCTCAGGACAACCTGGGCCCAACTGGCAGGCTGTTTCTGTCAATTATACAGCCGTGGGACGGATACAGGTACAGAGAAGCAAGGGGTCAGGCCCTTGCACATGGTAGGCACACCCAATGTTGAAATAAATTGAGGGGCGTGGTGCTGTGGCTCATGCCTGTATTCCCAATACTTTGGGAGGCTGGGAGGAGGATTGCTTCAGGACAGAGGCTTCAACGACCAGCCTGGGCACATAGCACGGACCCATCTCTACAAAAAAATACAAAATTATGGGTGGCATTACTCGGGAAGCCTGAAGAGAATAAGGGAGGGACATATATTGAGAGACCCTGGAGTCAAGGATTGAGGACTATGACAGCAAACCCTGATGCACAAACACAGCGAGAGAGGAGCAAGACCCCTGTCTGGAAAAAAAAAAATGAGGCTGGGTGCGTGCGCTCAAGCCTTAATACCAGCACTTTGGAGAACACGAGAGTGATCCGAGGTCAAAAGAGATCGACAGGCCATCCTGGCTACACGGTGAAACCCAATCTCTACTAAAAAATACAAATAAACTAGCCGGGGACGGTGGCGGGGCCTGTAGTCCCAGCTACTCAGGAGGCTGAGGAAGGAGAATGGCTTAAACCTGGAAGGCGGAGTTGCGCTGAGCTGAGATCGTGCCACTGCCACTCCAGCCTGGGCTAGCAGAGCGAGACTCCGTCTCAAAAAAAAAAAAAAAAAGAAATGAATTGAGGGTCTGGGACAGGGAGTAGGGATTCTGGGTCGTGGAATGGAGCCGAGTCAGATCAGGGGCTTAGGGGTATGGGCTGTGTGCTCACTCCCAGCCCATCTCCCTTTTTCTCCAGTTCACCATGGTGGGCGTTTTTGGAAAGACCCCAGAGCCAGCTGTGGCAGTCGATGCAACCAGCATTGCTCCTTGTGGGGGTGAGAACAGGCCCTGGGAGGCCCGGATCTCTCAGAATCCGGGGTGGGCTGGGAGAGGGCTGGAGAGCATCACTCAACTTGCTTAAATATCCTATTTTGATCCCCCAGAGGGTTTTCCTCAGTGTGACTTTGAAGACAACGCCCATCCCTTCTGTGACTGGGTCCAGACTTCCGGGGATGGTGGACACTGGGCCGTCGGACATAAAAATGGACCCGTCCACGGCATGGGCCCCGTGGGAGGTTTCCCTAATGCAGGTGAGGAGATTGAAGAGCGCTCGCGCCAAGGAATCACTCAGTCTGCTCCCAGGTAGTGGGCTGGCTGCTGTGACTGGTGGGAGAAGCTGTTTCGGGCGGGGGAAGATCAGTCCACAGGTGTTTATTCGGAAGTTGCCATGGTACCGGAACTGTGGAGATAGCAGAGTAACTTAAAGATTCTCAGGGCGGGGGGATCACTGAAATCCTAAGAAAACCCGGGCAATCTCACTTCATGGAGCGCAAGGCTTCAAAACCCACCACCTCATTTTCAGTCTAGACATTTGTGAGTGGCTCATGCCTGCAATTCCAGCACTTTGGGAGGCTGAGGCGGGAGGATTGCTTGGGCCCAGGAGTTTGAGCTCAGCCTGGGCAACATAGTGAGAACCCCATCTTTAGAAAAAAAAAAAATATATATATATATACACACACACACACACACATATATATATATTAAATTAGCCAGATGTGGTGGCGTGTGCTTGTAGTCCCACTTACTTGCGAAGGTGAGGTGGGAGGATCGCTTGAGCTCAGGAGTCGAGGCTGCAGTGAGCTGTGATTGAACCAGTGCGCTCCAGCCTGGGCAACAGAGTGAGACCTTGTCTCTAAAAAATAAAAATAAAAAAATAGGCCAGGCATGGTGGCTCACACCTTTAATTCCAGCACTTTGGGAAGCCGAGGCAGGTTGATCACTTGAGGTCAGGAGTTCGAGACCAGCCTGGGCAACATGGTGAAACCCTGACTCTACTAAAAATATGTAAAAATTAGCCGGGAGTGGTGGTGCGCACCTGTAGTCCCAGCTACTCAGGAGGCTGACGCAGGAGAACCGCCTGACCCCAGGAGGTAGAGACTGCAGTGAGCTGAGATCACACCACTGCATTCCAATCAGGGCAACAGAGTGAGATTCCATCTTGCAAAAATATAAAAAGAAATAATTTTTTAAAAAGACAATAATGAGGGCAGGATGCAGTGGCTCACACATGTAATCCCAGTGCTTTGGGAGGCTGAGGCGGGTGGATCACTTGAGGCCAGGAGTTTGAGACTAGCCTGGCCAACATGGTGAAACCCCACCTCTACCAAAAACACAAAAATTAGCCAGACATGGTGGTGCACACTTGTAATCCCAGCTACTTGGGAGGCTGAGGCAGGAGGATCGCTTGAACTTGGGAGGTGGAGGTTGTAGTGAACTGAGATCGTATCACTGCACTCCAGCCTGGGTAACAGCCTGGGTAACACACACACACACACACACACACACACACACACACACGCGACATTAATGAATGTAATCTAGGTTGCTGGTTTGCTTCTCTTTTTTTTTTTTTTTTTTTTGAGATGGAGTCTTACTCTGTCACCAGGCTGAAGTGCAAGTGTGATCTCGGCTCATTGCAACCTCCACCTCCCGGGTTCAAGTGATTCTCCTGCCTCAGCCTCCCGAGTAGCTGGGACTACAGGTGCACACCACCACCCCTAGTTAATTTTTGTATTTTTAGTAGAGACGGGTTTTACCATGTTGGCCAGGATGGTCTTGATCTCTTGACCTCGTGATCGGCCGGCCTCGGCCTCCCAAAGTGCTGGGATTACAGGCGTGAGCCACTGTGCATGGCCGCTTTTCCCTTTTCTTTGTGACCCCACCTTCTTTAGTTAGATGTCTAAAATGAGCAGAAAAAATAATGCTATGACCTGGGGAATTTGAGTGTTTGCTCAGATTCCTGTTCAGAAAGCAAAGCTTCGCTAAAGCAGCAGTTGGTATGTCCTGTGCAGGCTTCTTATCTTGCCTGTTCCCTTCCTTTGCCCAGGGGGTCACTATATCTACCTTGAGGCTGACAAGTTCTCCCAGGCAGGGCAGTCGGCCAGACTGGTGAGCCGGCCCTTCTGTGCCCCGGGTGACATCTGCGTGGAGTTCGCGTACCACATGTATGGCCTTGGGGAGGGTACTATGCTCGAACTCCTCCTGGGAAGCCCTGCGGGGAGCCCTCTGATTCCTCTCTGGAAACGCCTGGGGTCTCAGCGCCCTTACTGGCAGAACGCCTCCGTCACCATCCCCTCAGGACACCAACAGCCCATGCAGGTGAGAGACAGAGGCGGGGGTCCTGTCTGTGTGGGGTGAGAGGGCCAATGCCTGGGATCTGGGGGCGCCACCAGTGCTGAAGAGGTGGAGAACTGGAAAGAGAGCCAAGAAAAGGGGAACTTCATGTTACGGAAAGTGAGAAAGGGGCCGGGACAGGGCTGGACCGTTGAGGCTGGAACAAGGTGACATTTTGGCAGAGGACAGACTCTATGCCCAGCGGAATCACAGAGTTGCTGGAGATTCATTTTTGTTTCTCTCTCCATCTTTCTCCCTTGTCGCCTTCAGCTGATTTTCAAGGCCATCCGGGGCAGCAACATGGCCTTTGTGGTTGCTATGGGTTTCATCTTGATCAATCCTGGGACTTGTCCAGGTAAGACCAAAGCCCAGGCTCCAGGAAGGGGGCGGTGCCCTGAGATCACCATTCCCCAGGGTTCTCTCTATGACCTGCTTAAAATGCAGGTCCTGGCCGGGTGCGGTGGCTCAAGCCTGTAATCCCAGCACTTTGGGAGGTCGAGACGGGCGGATCACGAGGTCAGGAGATAGAGGCCATCCTGGCTACCCGGGGAAACCCTGCCTCTACTAAAAAATATAAAAAACTAGCCAGGCGAGGTGGCGGGCGCCTGTAGTCCCAGCTACTCGGGAGGCTGAGGCAGGAGAATGGCGTGAACCCGGGAGGCGGAGCTTGCAGCGAGCTGAGATCCGGCCACTGCACTCCAGCCTGGGCGACAGAGCGAGACTCCGTCTCAAAAAAAAAAAAAAAATGCGGGTTCTCCCTGGAGCCCGAATTCTCACCCAGCTGGCTTTATTTTCCATCTTCTACCCACCTCTCCTTCCCCTGCACTTCAAGATGTTTGCCTGGGTGAATGTGGCTTAGATACCATGGATTTTGGGGGCTGGATCCAGAACTCCTTCCTTCCCCTGCAATCTTGAAGGCCAGACCCATATCCTATTCATTTTTGCTTTTCTCGTACCTGGCACAATATCTGACATATATTACTGTTTGTTGAGTGAATGAAGGTTGGGGGTTGGGAGTAGAAAGAAAGGTGTAAATAAGTCGCCCATTGGAGCCCACTCCAATTAGATGGCAGTGAAGAGGGTGGTGGTATGGTTTTGACTAAACTCCAGGGATTCTTTTTTTCTTCTTTTCAGTAAAAATGCTACCAGAGCTTCCTCCCATATCTCCAGTTTCTTCCACTGGCCCTTCTGAAACCACCGGCCTCACAGAAAACCCTACAGTTTCCATAGAAAAACCCACCGTCACCACAGAAAAGCCCACAGTCCCCAAAGAAAAGCCCACCATTCCTGCAGAAAAACCCACCATTCCCATAGAAAAACCCACCATCCCTACCGAAGAGCCCTCTTTCCCCACAGAAAAACCCACCATCCTCACAGAAGAGCCCACCATTCCCACAGAAAAACCCACCACTCCCTCAGAAAAACCCACCATCCCTACCGAAGAGCCCTCTTTCCCCACAGAAAAGCCCACCATCCCCACAGAAGAGCCCACCATTCCCACAGAAAAACCCACCATTTCCACAGAAAAGCCCACCGTCCCCGCAGAAGAGCCCACTACCACCACTGAGGAGACCACCATCTCCACAGAAGACGCTGCCATCCCCACAGAAAAACCCACTGTCCCCATGGAAAAACCCACTATCCCCACTGAAGAAACCACCACCTCCATTGAAGAGACTACCATCTCCGTAGAAAAACCCACCATCCCCACGGAAAAAACCACTATCCCCATGGGAAAACCCACCATCCCCACAGAAAAACCCACTATCTCCACTGAAGAAACCACCACCTCCATTGAAGAGACTACCATCTCCATAGAAAAATCCACCATCCCCACAGAAAAACCCACTATCCCCACGGAAAAACCCACCATCCCCACGGAAAAACCCACCATCTCCATTGAAGAGACTACCATCTCCACAGAAAAACTCACCATCTCCACAGAAAAACTCACCATCTCCACAGAAAAACCCACCATCCCCACGGAAAAATCCACCATCCCCACAGAAAAACCCACCATCCGCACGGAAAAACCCACCATTTCCACAGAAAAACCCACCATCTCCACAGAAAAACCCACCATCCCCATTGAAGAGACTATCATCTCCACAGAAAAACCCACCATCCCCACAGAAAAACCCACCATCCCCACGGAAAAACCCACCATCTCCACAGAAAAACCCACCATCCCCACGGAAAAACCCACCATCTCCACAGAAAAACCCACCATCCCCATGGAAAAACCCACCATCTCCACAGAAAAACCCACCATCCCCACGGAAAAACCCACCATCTCCACAGAAAAACCCACCATCCCCACAGAAAAACCCATCTCCACAGAAAAACCCACCATCCCCACAGAAAAACCCACCATCCCCACGGAAAAACCCACCATCCCCATGGAAAAACCCACCATCTCCGTGGAAAAACCCACCACCCCCACAGAAAAACCCACCATTCCCACGGAAAAGCCCACCATCCCCACGGAGAAACCCACCACCCCCACAGAAAAACCCACCATTCCCACGGAAAAGCCCACTATCCCCACGGAGAAACCCACCATCCCCACAGAAAAAACCACCATCTCCCCAGAAAAACCCACCATCCCCACGGAAAAACCCGCCATCCCCACAGAGAAGCTCACAGCCCTGAGGCCACCCCATCCCAGTCCCACAGCCACTGGGCTGGCAGCCTTGGTGATGTCTCCACATGCTCCAAGTGCCGCTATGACCAGTGTGATCCTGAGCACTAACACAACCCCCAGACCCAATACAGGTATGAGGTGGATGGAGCGTGGGCCAAGGCTGAATGTGAGAGAGAGTGACTAGGAGAGAGTCAGGGAAAGGGATGCTTCTGGTAGAAAGCTTCTAGGTGCTTCTAGATGCTTCTAGTGCTCTCAGGGCAGAGCTGAAGCAGTCCATGGTGACTTCAGAGGAAATGGGGAGGACTGCCCAGAGTGAGAGGGATGGCAGGGCTGGAGTGGGTGGGGGTGTCAGGACCCAGCCACGAGGCTTCCTTCTCCTTGTTTGTTATTGAGCTATAATCCATATTTCATAAAATTCACCCTTTTAAAGTGTACAATTCTAGGCCGGGCATGGTGGCTCACACCTATAATCCCAGCACTTTGGGGGGCCAAGGCAGGAGAGTTGCTTGAGCACAGGAGTTCGAGACCAGCCTAGGCAACATACATAGCAAGAGCCTGTCTCCACTTTAAAATGGAAAAAAAATAAAAATAAAAAAATTAGCTGGGTGTGGTGGTGCACACCTGTAGTCCCAGCTACTCGGGAGGCTGAGGTGGGAGGATCGCTTGAGCCTAGGAGGTTGAGGCTGTAGCAAGCCATGACTGGGTCACTGTACTTTAGCCTGGGCAACAGAACGAGACCCCATCTTTAAAAAAAAAAAAAAAACCTCTTATTGTAGCACCATTAAAATACATGACTTGCAAAAAAAAAAAAAAAAAACATCTTTAAAAAAAAAAAAAAAAAAAAGCAAAAGCAATTCTATGGTTTCTAGTGTATTCCCAAGGTTGTACAACCATTATCACTTTCTAATCCAGACATTTTCATCACTCCAAAAAGAAACCCTGTACCTATTAGCAGTCCTCACTCCACCTTCCCCCAGCCCCTGGCAACCACAAATTTCTTTCCTCTATCCATGGATTTGCCAGTTCTGGACAGTTCATACAAATGGAATCATGCAATATGTGAACCTTTATGTTTAGCTTCTTTCACTGAGTGTAATGTTTTCTGGGCCATCCATACTGTAGCATGCATCAGGACTTCATTCCTTTAAAAAAAGTATTTCTTATTGTTTATATTTTTGAGACAGGGTCTTGCTCTGTCACGCAGGCTGGAGTGCAGTGGCGTGATCTCGGCTCACTGCAGCCTCCGCCTCTGGGGCTCAAGCAACTATCCTGTTTCAGTCTCCTGAGTAGCTGGGGCCACAGGCCTGCACCACCAGGACCGGCTAATTTTTGTATTTTTAGTAGAAACGGGGTTTCACCATGGTGGCCAGGCTGGTCTTGACCTCCCAAAGTCCTGGGATTACAGGGGTGTAATCCTGTAATTACACTTCAGTCTCGGCCTCCCAAAGTCTTGGGATTATAGGGGTGAGCCACTGTGTCCGGCTCTAGGGTTTCACCCTGTTGGCCAGGCTGTTCTTGAACTCCTGGCCTCAAGTGATTCGCCTGCCTCGGCTTCCCAAAGTGCCAGGATTACAGGTGTGAGCCACCGCGCCCAGCCTAAAATTGTTTTATTTTTAAATTTGTTTTGTAGGGATGGGGTCTCACTATGTTGCACAGGCTGGTCTCAAACTCCTGGCCTCAAACAATCCTCCCACCTCAGCCTCCCAAAGTGCTGGGATTATAGGTGTGAGCCACCACACCCAGCCTTCAGGCTTATGGCTGAATAATACGGTCCTGTTTCCTAGAGAAGAACTTGAGTTTGGGGGTAGAGGAGAGACAGGGAGACTCCCTGAGAAAGCTGTGGAATGAAAGCATGACAGAGGCTGTTTTCTCCTTAGAGCGCTGCCCCCCAAATGCACACTATGAATCCTGTGCTTGTCCTGCTTCGTGCAAGAGTCCCAGGCCTAGCTGTGGGCCGCTCTGTCGGGGGGGCTGTGTCTGCAACCTTGGCTTTTTGTTTAGTGACAACCACTGCATCCAGGCCTCTTCCTGCAATTGCTTCTACAACAACAACTACTATGAGGTAAGCCCCTCGGGATGCTCTGGTCCCATGAGGGAGATTGATGGCAGAACACCTGGGTTCCAGCTCCATCTGCTCCCCAGGTGAAGGAACGGGGATCACCGGATAGTCCCAAGGGATCAGCTCAGAAGCAATGGTTACACGACAGCAAAGTTTTTCATTCATTTCTTTTTTTTTTGAGACAGGGTCTTGCTCTGTCGCTCAGGCTGGAGTACAGTGGCATGATAGTGGCTCACTGCACTTCCTGGGCTCCAGTGATCCTCCCACCTCAGCCTCCCAAGTAGCTGGGACTACAGGCACATGCCACCGTGCCCAGCTAATTTTTGTATTTTTGGTAGAGACAGGGTTTCACTACGTTGCCCAGGCTGGTCTTGAAATCCCGAGTTTAAGCAATCCTCCTGCCTCAGCCTCCCAAAGTGCTGGGATTGTAGGCATAAGCCACTGTGTCTGGCTTGCCACATTTAGTTTTTTCTTTTTTGAGACGAAATCTCGCTCTGTTACCCAGGCTGGAGTGCAGTGGCACGATCTCAGCTCACTACAACCTCCACCTCCTGGGTTCAAGCAATTCTCTGCCTCAGCCTCCCAAGTAGCTGGGATAACAGGCTCACGCCACCATGCCCGGCTAATTTTTGTTATTTTTAGTAGAGATGGGGTTTCACCATACATTCTTTACCTCTTTAAATCTTTTATCCGTATTTATAAAGTGTACACAATAAGATTTTCTACCTCATATAAGATTGTTGCAAAGACGAAATTAAGTCCTAACACATACAATTACTTAATAAGTGTTAATTATTATCGTTAGCAATTTATGATAAATACATGCAACCTATTAATTAAAAGTGCATTAAAGGGCCCGGCACGGTGACTCACACCTGTAATCCCAATACTTTAGGAGGCCGAAGTGGAGGGATTGCTTGAGCCCAGCAGTTTGAGGCTGCAGTGGGCTATGATTGCACCACTGCACTCCAGCCTGAGTGACAGAGAGACCCTGTCTCTAAAAAAAAAAAAAAAAAAAAAAAGTGCATTAAGTAATTCATTAATGTCCAGAGCCTCTTCTCAGCTCCAGGTGTTCTTCTTCCCATTGACATTACAGCTTCTGCTTGTCCCTTTTGGGACTGTTATTTCCTTCCCTTGCCCCCTTTAACCAGTCTCCTGGGTCTCTCTGAGTTGCTGCTGAGATTAGCTTCAGCCACAGCCTGGGCAGAAAGATCTGTTACAACCATTGGCACCAAGAGGCTCTTCCCTCTGCCCTAGGAGGCGTGTATTCACTTCTTTTTTTTTCTTTTTTTTTCTTTTCTTTTGGTGGGGGGGCAAACTATTCACTCACTGTCCTCTATTGATGCAAAAACCATTCTAGCCGTTTTTGTTTGTTTGATTTTGAGACAGAGTTTCGCTCTTGTTGCCCAGGCTGGAGTGCAGTGGCGCCATCTCCACTCACCACAACCTCTTCTTCCCGGGTTCAAGCAATTCTCCTGCCTCAGCCTCCCAAGTAGCTGGGATTACAGGCACGAGCCACCACGCCCGGCTAATTTTGTATTTTTGGTAGAGACAGGGTTTCTCCATGTT